CTCCCCAGACTTATCCAATGGCTGTGAACATTTAAAACTAACACGAGTCTCAATAAGTGTCCAATTTTAGCGTCTTACACAGAATTATATCAAACAACATGAATCAAACATGCACTTTATTTATTTACACTAAATATCAAAAGTACATCAAATCGGATTGAAGCTAAGGGCATACAAAACTGTCTAACAAAGACATCATACGAGAAGACTCCATTGGATGCATTTATTTTCGGTAGAAAATTCATCGATGGAAAACTAAATTGATGAGTTTAAAATTGAAAAAATTCCTAATCAGTATCTTGTACTTTGGCTCAAGTGATAATGTGGTCCCCAAACTTTAAAATGCAACAATTTAGTATCCAAACTTTCAAAATGTAACAACCCAATACCCAAACTTTCAAAATGTGACAATCTAGTACTTGCTGTTAGCCGGTCCATTAATCAGACATTAAGTGACATTTGAAAAGTCAAAATGCCCTAAGAATGCCATCTAATTCTCTTTATGTTGAACCCAAACATTAACAATAAAATGAACAATCCCAAATTCTATATTCTTCTAATCAGTCGCCAACTTTTTTGAATAGAAGAGACTAGGATTTGGGACTGTTTAGTTTTTTGTCAACATTTGGATGGTTGATAAAGAAAATTAGATGGTTCTCGAAGGGCATTTTTGACTTTTCAAATGTCACTTAACGGCTAATTAACAGATTGGTTAACGGTAGGTACTGGATTGTCACATTTTGAAAGTTCGGGTACTAGATTGTTGCATTTTAAAGTTCGGGGGACCAAATTGTCACTCGAGCCGAAGTACAGGGTAATGATCAGGAATTTTCCCTTTAAAATTTTAGTTGGGCCATTGGAGTGTTTTTTATGTGATAATCGATGGGAACCTTACACTAAAAACAAACATGTGAAAATACGGACCAAGTGTGGAGTTTTAAAATGATATGTATTTAAACTAAAAACAAATGCTTGCAAATGCGAACTAATGATAGAGTTTTATGTCAATTCACATTTACACCAAAAACAAGCTCGGCCTTGAGAGATAATCCAACATATTCAATGGAAAAATTATTATAGAACAATATATTTATGATCAAATATTTCAAAGACAAAGGTGGTGTTTGGCATCGATGC